CACACACACACACACACACACACACACACACACACACACACACACCCAGCTTATGTTCTTCCACCTTACAGCCTTCTATAGCAGGATTTAGTATTTAGTAACTGACCATTATACTTAAAAAAATGTTTTATAGACCTTGTGAGTCCTGTCCACACATGAGGTGCTCTATCAGGTTTTTATCGGTGCAGGACTATCACAATACTATTACCCTCAATGCAGAGCTGGCTGGTTTGCTTTCGTGCCTGCTGAGACTGGTTAAAATCAGACAGGATACAGAGACAGTCAGACCCTGAATGGACACTGTCAGAGTTAAACTGCTTCCTTTCAAAATAATGGACAGTGTCAGAAACAACTGACACAGAACAGGAATCACTAAGATTTAGTGATGTTTTTGAAAGTAGTCACTTATTCTCACCAAGGCTGCATTTATTTGATCAATAATGCAGTAAAAATGGTAATATTGTGAAACATTATTACAAAATTATTAAATTAACTGTTTTCTATTGTCTTCAGTGTCACATCCTTCAGAAATTATTCTAATATGATAATGTGCTCAATGTTGAAACAGTTGTGCTGCTTATTACTAAATTGTGAATGTTTCATGAATAGAAAGTTCAAAAGAACAACTTTTATTTGAAATACAAATAAAAAAAATAAAAAAATTGTAAGTCTTTACTGTCAAATTTGATCATTTAATGTGTAATGGCTGAAAAAGGATATATTAAAATTATTTAAAATATTAAACTGTTTTAAACATTGACAATAATAAGAAATGTGAGCACCTAATCAACACATTACAATAATGAAGGATCATGTGACTCTGGAGACTGAAGTAACAGCTGCTGAAAATGTAGCTTTGCCATCACAGAAATAAATTACATTTAATTATTAAATATAATAAAACAGAAAAGTTCATATTTATCAATATTACTATATTTTTCATCAAATAAATGCAGCATTGGTGAGTAAAAGAGACTTTAAAAAAAAAATCTTAAAAGATTAAAAAAAAAAAAGTAAAAATATTTTAAGTTTTGGTTTTATATTGGGTTTAGGGTCACAAGAATAGTATGTAATATTAAAGGGGTCATATGATGCGATTTCAATTTGTCCTTTCTCTTTGGAATGTTACAAGCTCTTGGTGCATAAAGAAGATCTGTAAAGTTGCAAAGACTAAAGTCTCAGATCCAAAGAGATATTCTTTATAAAAGTTAAGAGTCAGCCACGCCTACCTAAAACGGCTCGTTCTAACACGCCCCCACATACGAACCTTTTTGAACCATAAACACATTTCATTACACCAAATACACAAACTAATGTTCTTTTTAGCAACATCATATGACTCCTTTAATAACACTAATATGGTAAAATGCCAAAGATATATAAAAAGAGAATAATGACATAACATACTTGTATAACTTATCATTGTGTCAGTATTTGAGATATTAATAATTTTCAACTAAACATTCAGTCTTTATGAAAAGCAGCTCTAAATACAATTTTAAAACATCAGCATGAGCTCTATCTTTTGTGTGTGAGTGTGTGTGTGTGTGTGTGTAGGGCGGGGGGGTTGGGGGGGGTGGAAATACAGCAATGAAAATAATGTTGAGTGACACCATTGAT